ATATTTGATACAGCAGGAGTGGGCAGCTTAGACACAAACACAGGTGCCCACGGGAGTCAGGCCAGTCACTAAAATGCATGACACTGTGACGTTCACACCGATGGTGGGGAGTGGGGATGCCGTGCTAAGCCGTGCTAAGCTCTCTATTTTCAAGATGTGACAGCCAATTCCAGTTTTTAGAAAATGCCCGAGGCTGTTGGAAGCCCTCTAGCCTCTCATTTGCTGCTGTCTCTGAAATAATTATTGATAAAGCTATTCCATTTGGTAGAAGAAAGCACACAGGGCCAAGGGGAAGCAGAAAACTAGCATGCATGTGAAAATTGAGAAATCAGAAAATAAATCTAGGTACCCATCTCTGGACTGGAGTGTTTCCACAGACTTGAATAATTTATGAAATTATCATGTCAGGGCTTCCCACATCACCAAGTGGACTTTTTTCCCCCTCTGCAGCAGAGGGATTACTATAGCTGCCTCTGAAAACATGATTCTAATACAGTATGTTACGGCCAGATAATGTATAAGTTAATATTAATAAAATGGGATTTGTATAACGTGTGTGTGCGTGATACCTGTGAGTCATATTGGTTCCTTAACACATTTCTAGTCTCTCTAGTGGTATGAAAATATTTTTTTTATTATTATTATTGGTATTTTACATAACAAGAAAGGAAGGACAAAAGTATTATGATTCCAGGACACTGACAACCAGATCCAGAGGAGCCGGGTGCCTGCAGTGTGCTGCAGTGGGCCAGGTCTCCAGGTCACCACTCGTGTGTCCACTTTGTGTCTGATGCCCTGTGTGATCTCAACTGGACACAGGCCATTTGGTTGTCTTGGATTTCCTGGCGCTCACACCCACTGCCTCCAGTGATAGCTGCCCTCAGAGGAGAACTAAGCACGCCGCAACTGAAGTCAACACGGGTGGTGTGAATCACATGCGATCTATGAATAGATCTCTTTGCTCATGTGGGTATTTTCCAGCCGGCCACAGTTCCTTGAAGTGGTGTGGCAAGACATGCTTTGTTTTGTTTGGAGGCAGAGGAAAGGCTGGGGGAGGGAAATGACATAACAAGCTGCTCTTCCAGTGAGAGTGATTGGCCCCGAGGACAGCATGACCAGGGTTCACTGGTCACCCTGCTGTGGGCTGATCGACCAGGGAGTGTGATGAGGAAGTCTTAGGAAGACTGGTCTTAGGAGCCCAACCCTAGGCCCCCAAATCTCTGTGCTTCAGCCTCTTCTCTGTTGCTGCCTCCAGCAGAGGGGAAAGAGCCATCACGGGAAGTCACGTGGCCAACATGGACAAACTTTTTGCAGGTAGAAAATTCTTAGGAACAGAAATTAGTTGTTAAACTCAGTGGGACTCAATTTAACAGGAAAGTCTGGCTTTGATAGTTTCCATGGGGATTTTCCCTGAGATTAGTCTCTTCCCTTTTATCTCGGGTCTGTGGAGCTCCAGGGTGAAGCATCCGTTCTCTGCGCTCTGGGCTCTATCGACGCAGGAGATGTGACCCCTGGGCCCACTGCTGCGCCCCTGCCTGGAGCGTCTCCCCTCAACTGTTGGCACAAGAGAAAAGCTTCACAGGCTGCTCCCTGCTCTGTAGCTGCTTTTGGTTTTGTTTTCCTTTTATATTGAACATTTGTACCTTCTTTCTGCATGGTTATGAAAATAACCTATTTTCTCTTCTCTTTCAACTCGGGTCCAGTACTTTGTGATCCTGCCTTGTCAGCAGCATACTCAAATAAAACGTCTGTGCCCACAATACCTTAAAACGGGCCCTGCTTCATAATGCAGAGTTGTCGAGTAGGATTATGCCAGGGAACCAAAATCACCATGGCTAACATGGCCCAAGAGAGTTGCAGTAGGGAGTAGACATTGTTCATGTAGGGTGGAGAATGGGTGAGCACTCTAAGGGAGCGCATGGTGCTTTTGCAAAGGGCAGCAAGCCCAAAGGCATTGTGAGTCAGTAGGGATGGCTGTTGACCAGAGAAGCCAGGTGTGGAATAGAGGCGAGCGAAGGCAAACTGGAGCCCATGGCGACAAAGCAAAGCTGGTGTCCAGCTCCCATTCCCTCCGAGCTCTAGTACAGCACATTTGAGGGGGGTTAGTGCCTGCCTCTGTGCAGCTTCATGTGCTTGTGAGCTGGGACTCAGCGAAGCTGAATGAGGAGATTTGGTAGGAGCTGGGGGACCTAATGCCTGCTACTGCCCCACACCAACAAGGTGAGCCAGGAGACCAAGTGTGAATTTCAGTGGCACCTGGCATCTGCTCTTTCTGAACTCACTAGCTACTGTTTGACTCTCCCCATCCAAACCTCATGAATATATCTCCTGTTCAATTACTGTATAATTGTAAGGTTAAGGGAATTCTGGGAACTGTAGTCTCATCTCAACTAAACTGACATACTGCAAAACCATTCCAGTGGTGTTAACCTTAATCCTCACCAATAGAAACACTGCTTTTCACTGTGAGCACACAGAAGAAACACTTCCCGGCACCCACTACGGTGGGATGAAGATGCATGGCTGGCTCTGGCCAACATGGTGAGTACAGTGGATCAGCTGAGGCCCTGGACAGCCTCCAGCTCTCCCCTAGCCACTTCAGTTATGGGGTCCCAAATGGAATAAGCCTAAATCCAAATCATCTCTTTGTAAGGAACTATCCAGCTTTTTTTAAAAAAAATTCTTTTTTTTTTTTTTTTACCTTTATGTATTTGGTACAGGATCTCACTATGCAGCTTGGATTCCTAGTGAGCCTCCTGTTTTCAGCTTCCCCAGCGCTGGGATTACAGGCGTGCCCCACCATGCCCCGACTGGGTTGCTGGCTCAGCACTCCCGAGAACAGGGTTGGCACAGCATGCAGTACCAGGGATCAAACCCTGGTCCCTGCATTTGCCTAAGCAGGCTTTTAGTCCGCTGAGCTATCCCTGTTTTGTTTTGCTTTGTTTTATCTTTTTTTTTTTTTTTTGGGTGGTTGTTAAACAAAATTGTGATATATCATAGTTTATTACTGCAGCATGACCTAGGTTGCCCAACTAACAGAAACATAAGTGTTAGGCACCAGACTACTGGCCTAAATATAAAAATTGTAGGATTTATCTAAGAAAAATATAAAATAAAAACTGCATGTGTACAAAATATTCACCACATCATTATAGATTGAAAGTAGTGTAAATACCCAGCAAAGGGACATTTAGAAACTTACAATTCAGACACAAAGTAAAATGTTATCAATTCTATGGGAAGTATGTGCGTAGGAAATATTGGAAAACATGCAGGATTACATTTGTTTAGGTATGAGGCTGCTGTCAGGTAAGTTTTTATTATATCTACAAAAAAATATTAACTGGAAATCAAGGTATGTCATTCAAGGGAATGAGCGCTTTTATGCCCCTGTACTTCTCTGATGGCAGCTTCTGCTTCCACCACCCAAGCCAGATTGAACCCAAGATGCTGGAAAGAAGAACACACAGTTGTGCCCATGAAGGCAAAGAGGGTGAAACACCCCACAGACCCTTAATGCCACTTGCTGGGGTTGCAGGGGTGGTGGCTTTAAGCATAAAGCACTTGTCCACCAATTCTGGCCAGGCCAAGCCAGAAGCTGTACACAGGTGATAAATGACTCCAGCAGCAAGGAAAAGCAAGAAGCAAGAGTACATCTCTGGGCTGGGGAGATAGCTCAATGGCATAAACACCTACCTGGCAAGTACAAGGTCCCAAGTTCAATCCCCTGTACTGCAAAGGAAAAAAAAAAAAAAGTCAACTGAGGAAAGAGTACATTTCCAATGTGTTCTGAGGAATCTGCTGAATGCAGGTGAAGAGGTCCCCATTCTCAGGATGTGTGTCTTATGTGGTAGGACACTACACCTTGTACTTCTTTCTGGCCTTGTTAACATGGATGGCAAGATGGAGGACCATGGCAAAGATGGCGGCACCCAGTAGGGGCGGCCATATTAGTTCTGGATCATCTTTGAACTCTAGGTAGACCCATGATTACTTTTTAAGTAGCTATCAAATTATATACTCTATTAGCTATATGAAATCATGCTTCTCAACAGGATACAATGATAGTCACCGTAACATAGCTATATAATATATCTTTTTATCTTCTAAACATGTTGCAGTTTTAAAAACTTTGATAGTTTAATAACAACACTCTTTCAAAAAAAAAAAAAAGTTTCTTCATCACTTAAATCCAATTAGCATGTCCTAAGAACAAGTTTTCCAAAGTC